ATATTTGAAGTATATTAGATGTTTAGGACTATTTTGAAGTTTTTGTGATATTTTTTGTTAATATGCACAATATAAATATATAATAATTTATTTTGTAGTTTTTATAAATCTATTTTCTGAAAAATAGCATTTATAAATACATAAAACAGATACAAATAGTATTCATTTATGTTAATCCATAAGAGTCATATGTATTTCAACGTAAATCATCAGTAAATAGAAACGTTTAAAATTGTTAATATTTATGTATTTCCATTGGCATAAATCACATCGGTGCTAAGGGTGTTAKCACCTTCAACCTTGAATTTTAATGCTAGCACCCCGAGTCCCCGAATCTCGTGATAATCTTAAATGTAACTAAAAATCATGATTATGTACCTCTAGTCTCTACCATGGGTCAAGATAGTCTATTRGACATAACAATTATTTTCACAAGGAATGAGACATGGAAAGTTAGTGCTTACTGCTTAATAGATGTCCAGTATAATTATTACATATTCCTATAGTATAATTACTATAATTACAATGAAACTTCCATATTATAGCAAACTTCTAAAAAAAAAATTTAACAAAATATTTTTGAGGGTCAAGTGGTTTTTTTTTTTATTTTATTAAATACTCTATGGTAAATTTCTTATTCTTATTCTTAATATGAAAGTTTCATTAAACATATTATAAAACATAATTTGATTTGCATACATTATTATAATTTATAATTATGGCTAGTTTAATGCAGTGAAATACCTTAAAATATGTATTTAAAATCTTAATAAATGCACTAGTCATACATTCTGAATAATTAATTTGAAATATAAACGTATACAGATCTATCAAGATGTGTTAAGAAAAAAATTATAATTTTATTTATTTTTAACCTTTTATGAAAATGTATAAAACAAAAATTAACAAATACGAGTAAAAAGTTTTCAATAAATAGAATTTGTAAAAATATCAAGAAGTAATCGAGAATGAAAAATTGGCTAAAACGGAATACTTAAAAAACCTAAAATTCAAAAAAAAAA